TTCATAGTTGTGCCTTCAATGTATTTTGCTAAAATTGCACTTGGAAAAAAAAAACAATTTATTTTTCCCTCAGAGGCCATTTGCACGCACAAGACTCCAACAGAAAGTCTGTCCAGCACCACAGAGGGAACAGCCCATCAGTGCCTAAATAAGGACTTGGTGCCAAAACACCAGTAGAGCTCCTCCAGGAAGACCAAGAGGAGGGGATAGGCCCACCAGAACCCAGCCCAATCACAGTAACAAGGCCATCACTGCACCACAGTCAGTTCCTCTCAAAGCCAGTAAAGCTGGATGGATAGAATCGGTAGCTAACCAATTTTACGTATTGCCAGAAATGTCCAATTGGAAGAAGACAAGATTTTTTGCAAGTGAATATCAACTATAACGTGGCTGGGCCTCACAGACTCCCTCTGCTGTCTTGGTTGAGTGCTTTGAGCTATTCTGCTTTAGGTGAAATGTCCCAGAGCGCTCCTGAACTGGGTTTCTTTAAGAACTGGCATCTTGCCTCTTTTTCGTCAACAATGTTCAAGGATGTTCAAGCCATGTGAAAATCATCTTTTATTTCAAGAGCAGAGACCTTAGTTTCTCGTGGTCTGATGATCTCCATGGTGCTTTTGACCAAATTCAAGCAGGCTGTCATGTGGCTTGGGGGTCGAGAGGCTTTACTATAAAGATCTAATTTGTACAGTGTGTTGGAATGGTCAACCTGGTATCATCCAACTCGGGGGCGTTGGAGTTCTATCTTTATGATCACTAGGTTCTTTGTCACCTCTTTGACCAACGTCTGTCTTCTTTGATTAATCAGGTTGTGGGCTAGATCTAGTTGGGATTTTGAAAGTTCCAAATATTTTTCTTGATGCCTTTATGGACATTCAGCAGCACCAAAAGCTTTTCTGTGTCTTACCCCAGATTCATGTCTTCACACAAGCTGGTCTTGGAGATCTGTGGACCATTTCTTTGAGGTGATCTCTTATTTCTCTTCCAATAAACACTACAAAACCTATGTGATAATTTTGAGAGAGGTTAGTTTTATTTTTGCGGTCGCATCCTGTGATGTCACTTCCTCCTTCACCAGACCGGTCATGGCTGATATGGAGGACAGTGAGTTTCTCACAGAACTTCTATTGATATTCTATCCATAAAAGTTGCTAAAGTGTTTGTAATATGTTCATTTCCAGAAGTGCTTCAAAATAGACACTTCTTTTCTAACTGATTAGAAAACTAAAAATAATTATTAAAGTATAATTATAGGAGAATCACTGACACTAAAACAGTTAATTTCTTCTTGTTTTGCTACTTGTATGTTGGACTTTTGACCATATTTATTGAACATTGAGGAATATCACTACTCCAGAGATGATGCTGCTCACACCTACAGATGACGGTTTGTCCTGACCAATCGGCATCAACAGAGATATGACGTCATCAAAATGCACCAGGTTGGTATTCTTTGACTTGTAACTAAAGCTGGTTCAAGAAGAGAGTTTAATTTGTACAAGTTAAATAGTTCCCAACAACATCCATCCATTTTCTTACGCCCCACTCCCGAGTGGGGATGGGAGCTGCTGGTGCCAATCTCCAGCTGACGATCCGGACGAGAGGTGGGGGTTTCCAAAAACAAAACTCCCATCCCAGTTTTCCATCCCAGTGCTGGGAAACTGGGATTTTCCAGCACTACTGAAAACTGGGATTATGCAGAAACCACAAAACCGAAATTCGTAAAGCTCAGAAGAAATCCGGAGAACATGCAAAAGAAGAATACGTCATGTATGGCTGTGCTAACTTTCGTCTGTTTCTGTTTGAGGTAAATCCAGTTTGCAATAAATATTTCCTGGCTTTCTTTCGCTGTACTTTGAGAAAAGGTTAGTATCATAGTAATTATTTTCACCAAAAACCCAGTTTCGGGAGAGAAGTGTTCCCTACAGTCATCCTCTGTTCAGCGAACATCCGTCCTCCTGTGGGACAATCCCAGACAGACATAGGATCAAGAAATGGATGGATGAAAGGATGGATGGACTGATTAATGGATGGAAGCTCTATAAACATGTAAATCTGACCTTACAGTGTTTCAAAGCTACTGCGTTGGCTGAATGAAGCTGTGCTGCTTTAAAAAGCTTCTTCGCCTGTTCAGTCAACTCTCCTTTTACACAGAAAGACGTTTTCAGACAGAAGAGGCTTTGATACACAAATACCACACAACCCTCGCAAAGAAAAAAAAAAACCTTTACCTACCACCGCCCCCTTTGCAACCATTATCACTCTGCGTGTCCGTAAGAGGGGAGGCGGGAATCTCTGGGGACTGAATCCATTTTACCTGTGTTTCCATTACGGCAGCAGACCCATACATACATACACACATCTATGCCTTTCTGCTTTGTGTTCCTCAAAGCAGAAACAACATCTTTATGTGCCGTTATATGTTATAGCAATAAGGACTCTCAACTTTTAGCTACTTTCTAGTCATAATTCACTCCACAGAGCAGGGAAGGCTGAAAAATGTACAAACGAAAGCAGAGAAATTCCTCAGAGATTGGCGGCAGGTTTCTGATAACAGAGATACTGAGGCTTATTAAAGTTCAGGTAACCACATTAAAACCTGAGTGAACTAACCTCAGTTTTACCTGCATGTTGTCCGATTTGTGAGGGGATTGTGATACCTCAAACTTTATATTTATTTTTTTTTTGTTAAAATGACAAAAAAAAGTTGGAACCTGAAGTTGGAAAAACCCTGGAAAGTCCCCTAAAGTTGGAATCTTTTCTTGGAGAGCGAAGTCACCTACTTTAATATTTATTTCAACATGGTGGAACTGGACTACTAATGGCAGTAGGTCATTTTTGCCAAGTTCATGTCAAGGGCAAAGTCTTGGATCACCAAGTCTCTAAAGACTGAAATTGACATTCTTATATTCGATGCATATCACAAAAACTACACTAAAACCCTCCAAAACCTCACCAAGCATTTCTGGTCCAGTTTCTAGTCCAAATATCTTAGTACATTTGAAATAAGACAAAACTTTCAGGAAACCTTTCAGCAAGATATAGGAGCATGATTTGAGTTGATTATTTCTTAATATTGATTAAATAATACTAGCTCCATTTGCAGACAGTTTCACTCATAACAAGACATTTTTCTCCCACAGATGTTTATAAGTGAAAACATCTGCAAATGGATCATCAATATTAAGAAATTATCTTCTCAAAACAAGCTCCTATATCTTGCTTAAAAGTTACTTGTAAGTTAGTTTCATCTTATTTCTGAGAAATTTCCACTAGAAACTTGATCAAAAATACCTGGAAGCAACTTTATAAGGAGCTAAGCTAATTTGTTTTATCTTATGCATGGACTGTAATGCCTTGATGATTAACATGGCATGCATGCTCATGTATATGCAACTAGTCACATGCAATGGAGGCAGCTTAAATGTAGTCACCGCCAAGAACCTACATTCCTGCACATCTGGTGCCAGCTGAGAGTTTTGACCTTTCAGCCATGAGTCAACAAGACCAACCAACCAACCAACCACCAGACCCAACGTGCCAACTCCTAGTGTTCGATTACACACAATGCAGAGCAGCGTCATGCTACCTGCTTGTGTTGCTAATCATAGTTAAGCACAAGCGTCCTAAATCTCACTGGTTCATGATATCATCAACTGGACCTGTGAGGTAAATGTAAACTCTGACTTATGAGAAACGAAGGTTAGAGCTTACTGGTGAACTAATACCACCAATTTAATTAAATGCAAATTAACTGACTGTTGGATTGTATTTGCAACTGGAAATAAAAAAAATATAAAAAAAAGGGGATAACCGCCTGTTTACATTAAGCTGTTCAGAAACACACAGGTTTCAACAACAATGACCACTTTCTCTGGTCAGAACTGCGGATCCGATCTGAGCTGGCCTCAGACTATAGAGCTTCGGGCCCGTAGTGGATCTGGTTCCAGGTGAGGCATTGTTGTTCTGCTCTGATTGTTCTTCAGGTTCTATCAGAGGATCTGAGTCGGTGAAACTCCATCTGCAGGAGTCCACACTGAGTGTGTTTGTTTCGAGGGGGATTCCCTGAACTGTGGGGACGCCAGGAAATTCCACGGACACTGTGTCTGTGTGCGTTGCCCTTCAATTGTTGTAAGGACAACTCTGTGTTTGCATTTAGCTTTGATGTAGTGCAACACCACAAAAATGTCTATTTTATTTTTTTAAAATAAATTATTAGCACATAGTACCATGGAAAGTCTCTTTTGCTCTTTAATTAGTTCACTTTTCTCTTTTGCTGTTATATTGACAAGTTTGTTTACCAATCAAAAATGTACCCAGGTATAAGTTTGAAATCATCAAAATGATAAATTTATATAAAAATGTGAGATTCTTCTTTTGGTAACACTTTACAAAAAGGCTCCCTGTATAGGTGGCTAATAAATAGTTCATAGACATGTTATTAATTCAACACTAAACGCTTTATAAGTCATTATAACTGTTCATTATGTATTTCTGAAGGCTGAGAAGTAGATTAAATCCACTGGTTTCTTGTGAAATAGTGAGCCAGATCTGTTCACATACAGATTTCATTTAGAGTTACTACACTATACATTTAAGATACCTTGTAAGCACAATAAGCATCGGGAAACGGAATATTTTAGCATGTATTCTGCTTCTTGAGCTTAATTAATAACCGATAAACAATTATTAATAATGTATAGTGTTTATTGATGAACTGACTGATGATTTAATAGACTCGTTGTAAAGTGGTAACCTTCTTTCTATTGTTCCTGAAATTAAGTCAGACACAGATAATTATGAGCCTAAATTTTAACGTCTTCAAATCCTTTTGCTAGAAACTTGGAACTGCCTCCCACATGCTAAAACACACATACATAACATACTGACACACACACATACACACACATGCACACACCACACACACACGCACACACACACATTGGACCGTCCTCTTCCCGGATGACATTTAGGCCGATATATAAACCGCTGGCTGAGACTCAGTCAGAAGATTTCTGCAGAGCAATACTGAAGTACTGTAACATTTTCTTGTCTGCTAACTGAGCTGTTCAGCTGCCAGCCTTCCTGTTGCACCCATCAGGGACCCATCTGACCTCAAAGCATCATGCTCACCAGGTATGTTGGTGCTCTGTTATGTTTTTTTTCGTCATAGTGCAGGACTGTAGGCACGAACATGCAGATCTGTACAGACACAGTCGGGAAAAAGTCAGAGTTGAGAAACACAGGTCCAAATAAGGAGGAACGACTGGAAAAATGTATGTCGGAGAAATTTATTGTCTCCAGTTGTTTGTAAAGTTTAAGTCCAGTTTACAAATTTCAATTTTTGATGTAATCAAGGATCTTTCTTCTGTCTTTCCATGCACACTTCTTTATTGTAAAATTGTAGATTGATTCTCAATTTTGTCAAATAGTTAAACATCTAACTTGTCTAGTGGGGCATTCTTATCATGTTTGAGCTTTATGAATAAAAATTAAATCCTTCATAAATGTTCTACAGCAGAATAGAAAAGTCTAAACTCAGCCTAAACATTTGCTTGTGTTGCAGGAAAATTATTCTTCTGTTCTCTCTGTTTGTCCTGCTTGTAAAGGGAGACTTTGATACCAATGGTAAGATCGGTAATCTTAATTAAAAATATAATCTAAAAATCACCTCTGTTTAAATTACATTTGTGTTCAATAATGCTGTTTTATGATTTCAGATGTGGGAAGTCAAGCCATATCGACAGGTAACAATCATCCAGATGTCTCTCATCATAAAATGTACTAACACTGTAATGATATGTCCTTAAAATGTTTATTTCTAATTTTTTGTTAGATAAGGATTCACTGTCTGATGAAGCTCCTACAGGTCAGTAACAAACTGTTGAACCGAAGAAACGTCTGGATATTTCAGTATATTGTTATTAAAAAATAAATACATGAAAATACTGACATTAAACTGAGCATAAACTTTAAAGTTTCAAAATGTGATTAAGGTTTACATCTTGATCGGATTATTCTCATTTTCTTCAAAGAATGCTAATCTTCCCAGTGAATCATTTGTTTATGACAGCTTGAATAAACAGTTATATGTCATCAGCATATTGACGAATCATCCATTAAAGTGAATGACAGTTTCACATTTAAACATATTCTTCTTATTCTAAAAAAAAAAAAGTTTGTTTCCTTTTAAATCACTGCTAAATAACACAACATAAAAAGATACAAACTTTTACAAAATGAGATTTTTTAGTAAAATAACATAAATAATTTTACATGCTCATGAGTTAGTTGAGGGCTGTTCATAAACATGTTGCTGGCAAATCACTGAGTTTGTTGCCAATTAGCACCACCTGCAGTCTACAGCGCAAAACTGTTAAGTCAACTGAAAATATTTCCTCTCAACTGCTGTTCTTGATGTTTCAGAGAGCATGAACGTTGTCTCTCCTGACCAGCCTGGTAAGATTTACTGTTTCAGAACGATACCAAGCACTGCTTAAAATATTTAGCTAAAATCACAGTTAAAATATTTAAATTAAATGGGAGACATTGGGTGTAGCTTCCAGTTACATTTGGGTGAATGAATCAATATTTGATGTAATTAAAGTAGCACTGATTATAAAAGATATGTGAAAACAAAGATGTTTCATCCTATCAGCCAATGTTAGTACCTAAAGTACTAACATTGGTTTTTAAACATATTCTTCTTATTCTAAAACAATTAAAAGTTTGTTTCCTTTTATTATTTTTTTGTCTCCTACAGCTAAAAGATCCCATTCAGGGATTAAAAAAAATAATAACAAGCAGCTATGAATGTAATCAGGTTTATTAAAAGAAGCTTTGCAGCTTTAAGGAAAATAAACCAGCTCAATACCAAATATTCAAGATGTTAAAACTGAATTTACTGATGAATCTGATTGACCACTCAGTAAATTCAGCAATTTCAACTATAAAGTAAAAATCACTGTTTTCACATTAACCATGTTGTACTTCTTGCTATAACTAGACTTAGTCAGACTGCAATTTAATTCTTTCCTAGAGCTTTTGATGAACATATGACTTTTAAATATCAGTGTTTTCCTTTACATTAAAGTAAATGAATATAAATGCCTTGGACCAATAACATCAGTGATTAATAAAAATCAGTTTTGGAGGCAGTTTCTTGTCTTTTTATACATGAAGAACTTTGTTGTTCTTTGGTAAACCAGAGAAAATACTTGTATATAAAAATTTAAAAAAACTTCACAATCATTTTAAATGTAGAATAGCAAACTCTGTGCTACAATGTAAAAAAGTCCTTTTCATTTTACCAATTAATTTGCCTGGACTACAATTATTATGCCTAGATTTGTGGAAGACCTTTAGATTTGTTGAAAACATTCATTTCCTCATGATAACTGAATCTGGGCTTTAAACAGCGAGTTTAGAGACATAATTTAACATTTCTGCTTTTGGGTCTGGAGCAGAAATCCAAAATAATATTTACTATTTACTAGTAAAAAGGTTGAAAGCAATAATGAATCAGAAGGGATTTCTTCACAGTTTCAATAGGAAACTGAGCTGGTCAAAAATAAAAACTTAGTGGATTTATTAGATTTTTTTTCACAAAAATAAAAACCAGGAACACTAAAATGATAACGAATGATTAACAAATTAAAGTCAATTCCCACTAGTGGAGGTGGGATTAAAGAGTTCAGATGATCATGTTGTCTCTAACAGTCAAATTGAAAGAAAAATTAACATAAATATAAATATTTCCTCTCTGTGTACAAACTGAACATTGTCAGCTTTACATAAACAAATGTAAACATTTTTTGCAGATGAATCTCAGTATTATGGTGGAGGACCATCAGGTAGGAAACACCTTGATTAACATGCTTTTAAAACAAAAACTTTGTTTTCTGCTCTGACATTATTATTAAATAAGTGAGCGCTTTGTCCTTTCAGTCCTTTACCATTTCATGCCTTCTTTGAACCCCAATGACTTGAGTAAATTTATAATCACAGTTTGCTGTAGAAATTACGCGTATCAGTAATCATAACAGTCAATCTGCCTAAAGAGCGATCAGAAAATAAATGGGGAAAAAAGTTGTAATGCAATGTTTTCAGGAAATAGTATACAATTAAACTGAGTTAAAAGTCACATTTGATCCTTTTTTATAAAAATTCCTCCCATTATTCCTCAAAAATAAATTCAAACTGATGCACAGGTACAAAAATTGTTTGTTCAGAGTCAAGAAATGGAAGTAAAAAATTATGAAATAGCAGAATTTAGGTGCAAATTGTGAGTTCAGCCCTTATTGATTATTCACCAGTTCATCTGTTTCTTGTTTCTCGGGTTTCAGACACAAGCAGCACCAGTTCAGAGACAGCAGACAGTAAGACCTTTCTCCTCCATTTTCCACTTTCACACCTGGATTTATTTACACCCAGATGATCTAAACATCCAGTCCTATAATTACATTCACCATCTTAGAGTTTCAACAGTATTGATTTAATATTTGTTTTTCTTTTGTTTAGCTCCTGCAGCAGAGCAAGTTGCAGCTCCTGGTACAAAAGACTTTCCTGTGTTTTTATTTAAAACATGTTGACATAAATAAAACATTACATCTGTGTTAAATGTTTATAAGTTGTTTAACTGTTTCAGAGCCTGCTGCAGCCGCTCCAAGCAGTACAGAGGAAGAGGATGGTGAGGAAGATATGCACTGCTTTAATCTGACCCTCCACTCTCTATATTTAAATGTTAATCAATAACATATTTTGCCAATGAACAAGGGTACACAGTGTAACAATAGAAGCAACTGTAAATTCTAGTTTCAAAATTAGAGAAACATAAATATAATTTTATCGACTAACACAGGAGAGGTCTTGTGTTTAAAATATATTTAGAATATTGTCACCTTCCTAAAATTGCAAAAACATAAAAAACTCGCCACATCTTTTTTGCCAGAAGATGAATTATTAATTTATTTTTTCAAAAAACAAAACCAAAGAAAACAAAAAATGTCTTGCAACAAATGATGCCTTTATTGATTTATTCATTTTCAAAAATAAAACTAAAGAAATCACAACATTTTTTGCCAAAAGATGATTTGGGCAAAAGAAAAGAGAAAAAAATAAAATAACTTTTAGCAAAAAACTGCACCATTATTTTTATTATTTTTGTTTTGTAAAAAAAAAAAACCAAAAAAAGCACATAAAAAAATATTTCTGGCAGCAAAACAACAAAGAGAAATCACCACCTTTTTAACACCAGAAGATTACTTAGATTAAAAAAATAAATCACTTTTGTCAAAAAATGTTTCCATTATTTTAGGAAGGTGGCGATATATTCCGGTGTTTTTGCATTGAAATTGTTTAATTTATGAGCTGTATTTCTTTTCTTGCAGAAGATGAAGGAAATGACTCTGACGAAAGAGCAAAGAAAAAGTTCAGCTCTCGTTCAGCGAAACCTCCAAGCCCCGCCCACAACAACCAGAGCCCCGCCCACATGGTTCAGATCCCCGCCCTCCCGCCTCAGCCTGTCGCCTCCCAGCCCAAAAGTCTGCAGAGGACCCGGTCGTCCAAGAGACGGTCCAGAACCAACCGCCGTCAGACACAATAAAACAACCCAGAAACATGTAACTCACCCAGAAACGATGTTTTGAACAGTAAAGAGGAAACACTTTGGTGCTTTGGTTTATATTCACCTCCAGTCTCAAAAGTTAGAAACTGAAACCGACAGTTTGATTGGACGAACACAGACCTCAGTCAGACGCTTCTGGAACACGCCGTTTCAATCACAGCTGTGAAACATGAATTGATGAATTTGTTGACATGTTTTGATGCATTTGAAGCTGATAGTAAATGAAGATGATCTACATAATTACAAAAAAATGCTTTGTGACACTTTAAATTCTAAATTAGGGCTTTTGGTTGCAGAGACTCTCTGGCCTCTGGTGTGTTTTTATCTTAAGGATTTGGGCCTGTGGACTTCAGCAGACCTCAGAGTATTAAATCTGCTCAGTTTTGTGATTTTGTTTTTATCATTCTTGTAAATGTTTGTGAAACCATTAAACATGTCGCTTCTATTGTTCCTTTTATCATATTTTATGAAGGTTAAATAAAACTCCTTTGCCTGTCAGAAACCAAACATTACAAGCATTGAAAAATGAGATGTAATAAATATCAGATTAATCTATGTTGTGTCTTTTTCTATTTAAAGGAAAACACCAATTTTCTTGCTTTTTATCCCAGTTTTTGACTGAACTTCATGATGTGGAAATCAGCACCGTGTAATCGAACTTTTCTCCCCAAGGAGAAAGTCTTTTCCTGAATATTCATGTTCATTTGAACACAGAAAAGGCCAAGAATTGTTTTCACGAGAAAATGTGTTTGATTGATTCCAGACTTGATGCCAGAAAAACCAACATAGTTTCCAAACTATTGGCACAGTTTGTTGCTACAAAAGAATATTCTTTGATCCTTCCTGGTAATATAAAGCACGATGCATGAAAACGGCCAGAAAAAATATCTTTTTTAAAGTAACTGTAGGATTTTAAAACTTTTCTAAATTCTGCAGATTTGCTGCTGATTCCTGGGTTTGCAATCCTAGAATTTCTCAGTTTTTACCGATTCATCCCACAGACTGAAACATGTATGTTTAGTTAACTGGATGCTCTATATTTATGTTTTATGTGTGGTTTGTTTTGCTCCTGTTTGGAAGCTTGTTTTTCAATTTAATTTAGACATTAAAAATCCTAAAACCAAATCTGATCACAAGTTTTAAAGTTTGGAAAGTGGAGCTTCGGGTATATTATTATAAGATATTACATTATTTTTGATGCTAAAAGTGGAATTTGACAGGTTGTTGTGTCTTGTGAATTAATAACTGTGATGAGCAGCGCCTCCTAGTGGACAAAGATGATCAGAACCCTTCAAATAACCACCTGAGAAACACAATCAAATCAAAACTGACTTAATGTGAGTGAAGTGAAATTTATGGGCTAGCAGCTGGTTGTGTTGTAAGTTTTAACAGGATTAGGTTCAGGTTAAAATGTTGAGTGTGAAAGGTTGGTGTTGGTCATGAGTGTGCAGCCGGGTGTGTGTGTGAGTGGGTGTTTTGTCTTTTATAGCATGCTTGTTTGGCTGAAGTTTGTTGCTGCAGATACAAAGCAGTCAGGGAAAAAAGAAGCAAAGCAGGGTAAATCCCCAGTAAAACAACAGCCCACTTTCTTCACATGCTTGCAGTGTGTTATCAGTGAAGGTAGCAACAGGGTGGTGGGAAGTCTGACTCAGTGTGCAAATGTAACCCGTCACTTTTTCTAATGTTTTTGAGTCTGTTTTTCCTGCAGAATCTACGCAGTAAAGTGAAATATATAGTAAAATGCTATTTACTAATAAAGAATCAAAGCAGAGAAACAATAATGCATTTCACAATTGAGTTTTTTTCAGTGCAACGGTTTTTATTCTAATTTTAAGTTTAAAGTTTATTCCTCACTTTGAATTCATGACAATCAATTTAAAGCTGAAAATCCAAAATATTCAGGATTATTTTCTCTCCGGATTGTTGCTGCTTCAGCTCGTTTGTTCAGTTTTTGTGAAATAAATAATCAAAACAAGCCTCTTGTTTTGATTTATCAATAAGAAAATAAAGCAAATTTAAAGAATGATGGCATGAAACTAAACCAAGATGTGCTCAGAAAATCAAAGTTGTCAAACTTCATACGAAATGAACCCTGGCATGCAAGAATGTGAGATTCCCATAATAAGGACTTAATTGTTCATCTGAGAAGTTTATTTCTGCCTCTGTGGTTCCCAGTGTTTAGACAGGGCCACACCTGGAACAGTTTCTAACTGCTTGAACAAAGGAACTGGTTTGTTCTTCCATAAGAGAGAGACAGATGTCATAGCATCAGTCTGACCCACTAAATTCAGGTAATTTGTATTCGGAGGCCATTTTAAAACACTAGACGCTGCTTTGCGTCTCAAATTTCATCCTTTCTTCACTGAGTTTGTTTTCTTTTCTGCTCCAATTATTTCTAAACGGTCTTAATGTGTGAGTTTCTGCAGCCATGTTTGTGTTTCCGATTGAGGTTAGAAGCACCAAGTTTGGGTGTTTCTTACCTCAATGTCCTTTAAGAATTACTTTTGGTCCAACACAAATGATCTGCTAAGCATCTTGTCACCTTCTGCAGAAACCTGGTTTTACTTAATTCATTGGTTTCAAGTGGTAGAACAAGGACGGGGTGTACAAACTTATTATCAAGTCAAAAGTTCTTGCAAGCCAAAAAAAGTACAATAATAAAGTAACGTATTTTCCAGACTATAAAATGCTCCTCTTTATAAGCCGCGCCCATAAATTATTATTTTTTTAACTAGAAACATACATATATAAGCCGCTCTGAGCTTTAAGCTGCTTGTATCTCCGTCGCTCTCGGTTTTCCCACAAGGAAAAATTTGCTATTAAGGATGCAGCCCTCCGTCTCCAACGCCGACTATGGATCCGTTTACGCCGAGTTCACGTGGAACGGCTCTATTTTCCTCCTGAACTACCAGATCGATAGTCTTCAACTTAGAAGCTGCATCATACAAACTTCTTCGTGTTGTTTCCTTGAAGAGGCGCTTTGAGCTTGAAGACATTTCTCCGTCATGCTGCTAACATGTGCTTGTTCTAAATGAACATCAGCACTTTCTTCTTTGATTTCCAATTTTGTCTTCCAATAATTCACTTCCTGCAAAAGAGCCCCCCCTGGTGGTTGAAGAAAAAATCCACAGAAAAGCCGCACCTGGCTACAAGCCGCATGGTTCAAAGACTGGGAAAAAAGTAGCGGCTCATAGTCCGAAAAATACATCAGTCTCGTTTTATTTTTATATTGTAAGAAATAAATGTTACTCAATGCAGATCGAAAACTTAAAAATAATGTGATTATTTTGTTAGCTGTATTAAAAGAAAGGCATCTAGTTTTTCCATTTCTTTTTGGGTTTGATTGAACTTTTTTTTTTCCTCAGAAGAAAAACAAGATTCGAGTCACCTTCTTTCAAAACACTTTCTATATTTAACCAAGTTTAATAAATTAAGTAAAAGTTGATTTGAGTGCAAAAAAGTCTCTTAAAATCCATGGATAGACACGGATCTGCTTTTTATAAACACTTGATCAAAAAAAAAAAGAAAAGACTTTGTGCTGAACTTAGCATTTTCCAATGGAAAGACATTATGTTGGAAATAATTCTTACCCTGATCACAAATAAAAGTTCTCCATTTGCTGGACGGGTCAAATTTGTATCTTTCTTGAATCAGCCCATGGACCACAAATGGCCCCCAAGCCACACATTGGACACCCCTCATCTAGAGTCATTTAACTTTTAGACATTAAAGAATAACCAAAGTTAAAATTACACTGTATTTTCAAGCTAACCTCTTAACTTTTATTGATATTTTCACTCCTTTGTGCTTTCTAGAGTTTCTTTACTAAAGTTACATCAACATTTTGCCTCAAACTGAAACTTCCTGTTGAGAAGTTTCTGTTGTACAATTGATTTATCCACTCCGGTTGAGACAGAAGCCTAATTAAAGGCTGTTAGCATGCTATAGCGCACGCAGTCTGACACACAAGTACACACACACTGACATGTGTTAACGCCCACACACAATAAGACACCGACAGATTTATTTCTGTCCTTTTTCTCGCTCTGTTTTTTGTCCTCATGTAACCTACAGTTCTTAGAGTTTGCATTTTAACAAGAACTGAATCAAAACATGTTTTTGATCCTTTTTATCGGGGAATCACTTAACAATGAATGAAGCTGATCAGAAGCGTTGCTCTGCGTGTTGGTTAAAGGAGGGATTGTTTCCCATCATGTTGCACCGACAAGGAAATACTGAACTGAAACTATGGAGATCAAACACCACACTGAACTCAGTTAAGATTGGCAAGGTTTGTCATAGTTTCTTTTTATTTGAACAGTGAGTCCTTTGTTCCAGCTTTCAAAGACTATTTATCTGGTCAGGTGGGGATGCATGAACAAAACATGAAGTATGAACAAACTGTGCGATACAAAGGCCAAAAGTGTTTTCAATTCTACTTGACAACTTGCACTTTACAGAGATCAGAGGTTGGGACCAAGTCGCTGCTTTGCAAGTCTCACGTGTTTATCCTAAAGTCCCGAGTCGAGACTCGAGTCAAATCAAGCCACTGCTAATGTCCCGAGGCTCAAACTCTTCATTTCAAGTTGTTTTTTGAAAATAATGTATGCTGAATTTAAAAGGTAGATCATGTGTACATTTTATCTCAAATTGTGACAATAGAGTATTTCTGAAATTATACCTCTATGTTTTACTTAAACTTAGTTGTAAAAACAGAACTATAATTTTCCAAACTCAAAATTTACTGAAAAATGCAAAAAGACTCCACGTGCGGACAAAATGTACTGAACAATGTGAACCAATGTGATAACCGCTGTTATCATTCAGCCTTGAGCACAGAGAAACTGCCTCCATTTAGCCTGAGGTTTACCCTGACATCAACAAAATAAAATGTTTTGTCCGAATGCAAGAAAAAAAAAATCCCCCACATATGAACACGGAAAGCTGCAAAATCCTCAGTGGGGAATTTGTGAATTTCAAATAATTAAACAAAAAAATAGGATACAATAATTTGTTTTCAAGTTTATTTTTTGTCTTGGCGTACATAAAACTGTTCAAGCATCTTTTTAGTCCCTGTTTTATCAGACGGTATAACTTTCAAACTGCTTGAAAAGACAGAAATCCTGCAAAAGAAAGAGCTTTGGTTGGTTTTTCTTTACAACTCCTGTACTTTAATAATCTTCTGAGACTCTTGGGTTTAAATACCGTCAGGAAACTTATTTGTCTCGTATTGTCAAAACGCTGTGGCAATTTCAACAAATATGAGAAATATGGATATGCGATGCATGATTTTACCTGCTCATCTAAAGAAACCTGAATGCTGAGATTGACTTTTTACATGTTTCTGAGTTTCATCACTCAGGGAGGGAGAGGCGCACCAAAAACTTTAATTAGCGGGAATCCTCTGGATAGCATCAGGATATTTCAATTAAAAGCGAGTTTGTTGGTTTCAGCGCTGCTGTTGAATCCTGTCATTAATAAATGGATGAAGTTCGGCTGTGTTAGTGGGAAACGTGAAAGTTGGATGTTAAAACTCTGTTTGCAGTTCAAATCAT